TGAGAGAGCCCGCGAGCTCGCGGCACGCAGGCGCAGGCGCCAGGCGCCACCTGGGCGAGAAGGAGGAGGCCGAGACCCGAGTCCAAGTCCCACGTGACCAGAAGGTGGGAGGGGCCGGGGGTCCAGTGCAGGGGAGGAGCTGGGGCGGGGCGGCTACCAGTGGGAGCCTGGGACTAGCCAGGACCGTTTTTGTGTCTCGCCTGGCCCTTAGGAGTGTCAAGTGGGTGAAACAACGCGAGGTGTTGTCAGGCGCACTGAGTCCCTCGGCGGCGGGTTTATTTCTCCCCTTGTATGATTCTACGTGCTGTTGGGTGTGGGTGACCAGACTTGAAGACACATGGTATTGGCATTTTTCCTAACTGGGATTGACTGACAGAGTAGGGAACTGCTATTGTGCCTTCTTTGTTTTGTGTCCATATAATTGAGTGTGGTTACGTGACTGACTGGTTTTGTGTGTGTGTGTGTGTGTGTGTGTGTGTGTGTGTGGTTTTGTGGGGTTTTTTTTTTTTTAATGTAAAATGTGCTTTTCTTGTGCCTGTGTTTCAGTGTTTTGTATGAGTTCGACCAGAAAAAGAGCATTGTATGACTGTGAAAAAACAATGGATGATCAAGTTATTTAGTCCTTGAACACTAATTTGATGATCTGGAAAAAGTTACCAGTTTACCTGGCAAATAAATTATTTTTTATCAGAGCAAATACATGTATTATGGGGAATACTACAAAACTAACATCTTTATTTTAAAGAAATTTTATTTCAAAGCCAGTCATAGAGTAACTTTTTTCCTCTGCCACTGTCCCCCAAAATAGGCATCCATTATTTTTTTACTATTAGGGTGACATTGTTTTGAAAGGTTAAAAGGCCATCGACTAATATTAAATAATATAAGTTTATATATAAGAAGAGTGAATTTTAGCAGAGTCCAGCATTCGATTTCCTGAATTCCAGGTCAAACCCTTCTCCCATTCTCTCTCTTTCTCTCTCTCTCTCTCTCTCTCTCTCTCTCTCTCTCTCTCTCTCTATATATATATATATATATATATATATATATATATATATATGATTTTTTAAATAATTGATTTCAGAGAGGAAGGGAGAGAGAGAGATAGATAGAAACATCAGTGATGAGAGAGAATCATTGATTGGCTGCCTCCTGCATGCCTTCCACTGGGTATGGAATCTTCAACCAGGGCATTTGTCCTGACTGCAATCAAACACGTGACCTCCTGGTTCAACCACTGAGCTACGCCAGCTGGGAAACTCTCCCCATTTTTTGATGAACAAACCTTGCGTCACAGAGAAAGGAACTTAAGAATGTATGGTTTGTTGGTAACCCTGAGCTTGTCTTCACTTTAAGATGTCATGGCCTTTTAAAAATATAAAATCACAGGCTTTTTGAAATTCCAGCACAGAGAAGAGTTATAATTCCACCACTGTTCCAGGAGGAATTTTTTAATAAAATTTGCTCTGACTTGTAGGGCCCTATACCAAATACTTGGATCTCTTTCTATGTAAATATGACTGGAATAGCAAGTTTGGTGATGAGGATTGTTGAATGAATGAAACAGTGTACATGATTCAATATAGCTATGTGAAATAAACGTGGTTAAATTGCAACTTAAGTGTGGGTAAAAGTGGAACAAGACTTTTGTTAGAGCATGAATGTGAGATTTATATTTGTGTGTTGTTGTTTTTATAGGTTACACATTCTGGTTTCAAATTAGATGGCATACATGGATTTGAAACCACATCTATTTGATTCTGGGTTATTTTTTTTTTATTTATAAATAGTTGTGATGACTGCTTGCAAGAAGAAGGAGGCTATTGTTTAAAAGTGGAAAACAGCCCTAGCCAGTTTGGCTTAGTGAATAGAATGTTGGCCTGTGAACTGAAGAGTCCTGGGTTCAATTCCAATTAGTGGCACATGCCTGGATTATGGGCTGGATCCCCAGTGGGAGGTGTGCAAGAGACAGCCAAATCAATGATTCTCTTTCATCATTGATATTTCTATCTCTCTCTCCCTCTCCCTTCCTTTCTGAAATCAATAAAATTATATTAAAAGTGAAAAATAGAAAATTTTAACCTGAGATGAATAAATTCCATATGGATGGTCTTTTTATTGTGACATTTTATATGTGTAGATATGTGGTAAAAAAAATTTTAGAGAAAATATAGACAGTTTTGTCAGAACCACAAAGAGATACTTTGACCCAAAGAAATTAAGACTAATAGAAATACAAATTGCAGGAGCTGAGAAGAACTTTTTTTTCCGCATACCGTATGACATATTTAATATAAAAATATAGTATATATTTTATGAAGGTATACATCAAACTCTTGTCAGTATTCTTTGGAGCGAGAAGTGTCAGAAGTGACTTAAAACATAACTGATCATCTCTTTTTTGTTTTTAACAACAAAAACGTCTTATTTATTTAAATTTTAATTTTAAAAATTCAAAAGAAAGTGGATACTTTGAAGATTTGGAGCAAGAAAATGTGCCAAAGGACCTAAACTCTGTAGAAGCAGACAAAATCCAGAAAACATGCCCTCTCAAGAAGACTGCAGAGTGATAATTTTTTATTTTATTTTATTTTTTAATATTTTATTGATTTGTTTACAGAGAGGAAGGGAGAGAGATAGAGTCAGAAACATTGATGAGAGAGAAACATCAGCCAGCTGCCTCTTGCACACCCCCTACCGGGGATGTGCCCGCAACCAATGTGCATGCCCTTGACCGAAATCGAACCTGGGACCTTTCAGTCTGCAGACCAATGCTCTACCACTGAGCCAAACCGGTTTTGGCAAGAGTGATAATTTTTTAGCTCTCAGGTAACTTGTTTATCAGCTAGCAGTTTCAGAATTATGTCCTTGTAACCCATTTTGACCTTACAGATCTTGAAGGATGTTATCTTTTTAGTCCAGCAATTGGATTCAGCACTGGTAGTGGCTGCCTGAGAACAGCATTGGTATGTTCTCTTTCCTGGCACTGGATCATTTTCTTTCAGTCTTTGTTGATACTGGCAAATAGTTTTTACTTTTTTCCAAAAGATTGAATTTATACCAGTACATACTAATCAAGCATACAATTAATGAAAGTATTTGAGGCACTCTGATCTTTTTATTTTTATTTTTCCCTAAGTTTTTATTTTGAAAAATTTTAAAGCTACAAGAAAACTAATAGTGTAATGATGTATACTGTATATCCCTCATCTAAATTCACCAGTTTTTAAACATTTTGCACCATTTGCTTAATCTCTATTTACAACTATTTATATATATTTTGTTTGTTGCTCAATATTTATGAATAAACTGCACACGATACATACTTCACTATTAAATATTTTAACTTGTACATCTAAGAATAAAGTTGTTCTCCTGCATAACTTCAATAATATCATAAATACACATAAGAAATTTAACATTGATTTGTAATGTCATCTGTTATATAACCTTATTTAAATTTCCCCCAAAGGTTCCCCAAATGAACAATTCTGTATATCTGTTTTAAAAACTGAGCCACAGTTTAAATCAAAGCCATATATTGTATTGACTCATCGTTTTTTTTAAATAAACATCAAATATTTATTTCCATTCTGGAGGCTGGGAAGTCCAAGACTGATTTGGTTAGCTCCAAGACTGATTTGAGATAGGAAGATTTGGTTCTTGGTAAGAATCCCTTCCTGGTTTACAGATGGCTGCCATGTCACTGTTTTCTCACATAATGGAGAGAGGGTACTTATTTTTAGTTTCTTTAATGTAGAACGGTATTTCCCTGACCTGTTTTTGTGTTTCATAATGACATTTTTGAAGAGTCTAGAATGTCATTTTGCAAAATGTCTGACATTCTGGATTTGTTTTGTCATGACTAAGTTAAGTTTAAATATATTTGGCAAGAATACTATGGGTGGTGATGTCTTTTTATTTTATCATATCATATTTTATCATATCAAGGAACACATAATTTAAATTTGATCATTATTGGTGATACTGAATTTGTTCACTTTGGTTTAAGTTAAATGTGTACCTGATTTCTCTATGATAAAAGTTACCTTTTTTCTTTGTTAAGCATAACAAACTCCTTTTACCTAATTGTTTTAGCATCCATTAATGATCCTTGCCTAAATAAGTTATTAAATTAAGGTTCACAATGGTGATTTTTAAGGTTATCATTCCTTCTTTATTATAAAAGAGCTTTACCTTTTCCCTCTGTTTCTCCCTTTGAATTATTACTACTGCATAGATTTCCATGCAAAGTATTTTAATACAAGGAACAATGTATTTTAGCCCATTTATTATCATTTTTTGTGTTGCTCAAATTGTCTCGAGTTTACCCTCTCAAGCTGTCTTTGAGTATTCCCTTACTTTTTAAAAAATGTATCTTTATTGATTTCAGATAGGAAGAAAGAGGGAGAGAGAAATAGAAACACCAATGATAAGAGAGAATAATTGATTAGCTGCCTTCTACATGTCCCACACTGGTAATCGTGGCAACTAGGGCCTGTGCCCTGACCTGGAATCAACTGTGCGTGACCTCCTGGTTCATACATTGGCGCTTAACCATGAACCTTGCCGGCTGGGCCTTTCTTGACATAGATATTTCAGACATATTATACATTCCCTGTCCTAAAACTGGTAAAAGCTACTTACTGAGGGAATTTTTGAGATAATATTTTTAAATATATATCCTCAACAAAGACACCCATAAGTAATTTGTGGCACCCAGATGCAATGGAATGTTATACATCCAATAAACTTGGTCTTATTAAAATTAAAAAGTTTAAAAATATATTTTATTGATTTTTTACAGAGAGGAAGGGAGAGAGCTAGAAACGTAGATGAGAGAGAAACATCGACCAGCTGCCTCTTGCACACCCCCTACCGGGGATGTGCCCGCAACCAATGTATTAATACATGCCCTTGACCGGAATCGAACCTGGGACCTTTCAGTCCGCAGACCGACGCTCTACCACTGAGCCAAACCGGTTTCGGCTAAAATTAAA